GAAACATATTCCTCTCCTTCAAGAAATATTTCTATCAACTCTAAATCATCTCTTCTCCACTTTTATTTCTCTGACTTGGCTAGTTGAAACGTCTTGAGCCAAATCTAATTTCCCTGATCAGTTTACCACTTTGAAAATTTGCAAAATGTATTAGCATAAAACTGGGGAGAAGCTTGCATCAGCAAACTGGACTGATCTCCTACTTGGCCCAGCACCAACACTCAGTACACAGTGCTCTGTCCAGAAAATGCCTTTGAAGAACATGCAGGTCTCTACAGATGGCTTTGCTGCTCCTTGGCCCGTGATTAGGGAACGACAGAGCAAAGGAGAGACATTGGAGGGAACCCTGCCTTTTGTTTTCTAGTAGAGAATTTTATTGGGTACATCTTTTGTAAGCCAGCTCACAGGTTGTAGATGGGCCACCCAACAGTTACATCTTGAGTCCCAAGCACCCAGTACTCCATAGGTAAGTTTCAGCTCCTATTTTATTACTCTTATGTAATACCAAGATAAAATTATATACTTTCCCAGGTCATTTTGGGGATTCAAAATACAAATATAAAGAGCCTGGCATCTAGTGGATGCTCACAATATGGTAGCTGTAACTGAAATTCTTTAATAGAAGTGAAAAAATGGTTTACAGGCCCCGAGAAGTTCCTGACTGTGTTCAAAGGTATAGTTCAAACATGAACAGTGAAGCTGAGGAAATTAAAAGGCAGTCAGTAGTCTATTCTAGCCAAAAGTTATTAAGGAAAGGACCAGTAAGTTAATAGATCCGTAAGTCAAACCATGGTTCGAATAAATTCTATTTAACTCTTGAGTAACATTTTAACTGTATATATTTTTCTAGTTTTTATTAGGCTAGGGGCCCAAAACTGGGAAGAAAATGAACCAAAGTTGATGGGAAAAAAAAACATGTAAATATTTCATCCTTTTGAGAGTAAAAAGAATAAACGGAAAAAAAACCTTGGCATTTTAATTAACTGGTTATGTGAACATTATAAAAAACGCACACGAGATAACTGTGTGGTATACATGTATTAATATTAATTACAATGTTTTAGGCATTTACCAGATAGGCTTAGAATTACGTCTGTATATGAACTCAATTAAGCCTCACAACAACTCCACAAAGTACTATTATCCCCATTTTACTGATGATAAAATTGAAGCACAAATAGGTTAAATTACTCATGCAAAGTCACTTAGTAAAGAATTGAGCTGGCACTCAAGCCCAGGAGGATTAACCGCTGTGCTATAGTGTATTGTGTAGAACACAATATTATAAATTTCTTTATTGTTTATAGCTCATATTCCTTTTCAAGAATTTCAGATGTTTAAAGCCTTTTATGTATACTGTCTCTATGGCATCATCATCTTTTCAGCAACCAAAATTAGAAAACTCAGGGTCATTTGTTTTCTTTTTCTTCTTTAGTACTCACATTCAGCCCACAGGATTCTGCCTTCACAACTTTTAAAAGAAATTCATCCTTTATTTTCTAATTTTATGGCTTTCTGATCCAACTTGGGTCTTCACTGTGCCTTTCCTGAGTTGTGGTAGTATCCTCTCTCCATTCTCCCCTCCAGCTCTTTCTCTCCTCCAGCCATACTTTAGGTGTGTCACCCCGCAAGAGAAAATAAGTTAGCATTCGTACATGGGGAAGCCTTGAATACAAATTAGTTAAACAGTCTGAGGTTCTAGTATAGATAACTATCTAATACGTTATGTTCTCTCATATGCTCCTTTTAAGTTATGTGTGTGCTTAACCATTAAGTTTATTTATTAATTTTATGAACTCGAAAATAATAAAATTCATATTGTATTGTTTATAAGCTCAAAAGTAATAATAAAGGGTTATCTAGTACTTTAAAGTTCCATGTACTTATGCTAAGTACAATAAGTCAGTAACAAAAGGACAAATCCTGTATGATTCCACTTATATGAGATATGGAGAGTAGTCAAATTCGTAGTCAAATTCATAATCAGAAAGCAGAATGGTAGTTTCCAGGGGCTGAAGGGAGAGAGGAATGGGAGTTGCTGTTTAATGGATATGAAGTTCCAGTTTTGCAAAATGACAAGAGTTCTGGAGTTGGTTGGTTTTAATGGTAGCACAACAATGGAATACACCTAATGCCACTGAACTATACGCTTTGGGAGGGTTGAGATGGAAAACTTTATGCTCTCTGTATTTTACCATGATTTTTGAAAAAAGAATAATTAAAGATCAACAGATTTTATCCAAAAAGTTGGAAAGTTTCTGCTTTGGACCGATAGCTTCTAGCAGCACCTTCCATTTGTATCCTGGTTCTCACATTCACGTGTGTATCATGCCATTTGAACCTAAAGACAACTCTGTGAAGTAGAAAGCATAGTTACGGTCATTATCCTCAACTTTACATTTGGGGAACTTGAGACTCAGCTGGATTGAGTGACCTGTCTGTGGTTCCATATACCTGATTAATGATGCTGGAACTTGCATTAATGAAAGTTTAATGTTTTCCGAGGTTTAGCTTTCGACTTCTATTTTAGCACATAGCATTAGCAAATTTATAACAATATTGGACTCCCAGCCTGAGGAGGAACTTGCCAATTTTTTACTTTCCAGGAGAGGCGAGACAGAACCCTGAAGGTCTGCTGTCCCTGGCAAAGGGCGATGGCTAGCATCATTTGCATTTGCCTTACCACAATATGGAAGTTGCCCATCTCAGTGGTGAGGTGATGTGCTTAAGACTCAGAGGCTGTTTTCATCAAGGATATTCTGTGACTTGAGTAAGAACTTTGCAAGGTAAATCAAGAAGAATGAGAAGAACTTATACTTTGTGACAACCCTTTCTTTATAGAACCTAGGTGGATGAGAAGGAATTTTTCTTTCTTCCTCAGATCCCCTAAACTTGTGATTTTTCCCTTGCTTAGGGGAGAGAGAATACTTTCAAATGGCATTTCCCTATCTACATATAAAACAATTATGTATGGGATTACCTTTAAAAAGCCCTGTAGGCGTGTGTGGCATACAAATGAAAGAAGATGCACCATGAGTGATAATTATTTAAGCTGATTAATGAGTGCATTGTGATTCACCGTATCTATTATTCTCTCTCTATAAATTTAAAAATAACGATTCTCTAAGGGTTTTCTATGGACACTTCGGAAAAAAGAGGAGGTGGATTCTATAGTCAAAATTTAGGAAATACTTGAAAGTTTACTTGAAAGACACAGAAAATATTAGAATATTAAAGACTCTAAGGAGTCTTGCATTTACTACATATTTAAACACAGTGTAACCACATTCTGTTCCTAAAGTTGATCTGACTATTGAAACCCATTTTTTTTTAACCAGACAATGCCTGTTAACAACTTGTCAAACTAACATTTCACAAGGCATATTTTGGTGAACCTGTTTTAAAAAATCATGTGGTGACTCTGTTCATGAGAAAAAAACAAAACTCAAGGGCAGTTTCCTGTTCTTTCCGACAGGAACAGCTTTTCAGAACTAGGGAAGATTTATTATTATTATTATTAAATGTTATTATTATTATTATTATTTGGATCACAGAGGAAACACAAGGAAACTACCTGCTTGCCTTAGAGAAGAATTAACTTGGATTCCCTAACCAGAAGTTATCAAGAGTAGAGAGGAAGAAAAGAAACCCACAAGAGTTTGGTAGCCAAGAGAAGTTAGCCTGGACTACTCAACCAGCTTGTCACAGGTTTACAGTGTTGGCGATGCAATTTGTGCAGAGTCCCCACACTTGCTTAATGCACATGTTGGCAAGGAATCCATGAATAAAACTGAAAGTCTTAACTCACATGGATTTCCCTATATGACTAAAGTCTAACTTCCCATGAATGGTACACAATATTATACAGCTTTTTCAGCACAGAAGCCTGACAGCTGGTAGATCATTTGTAAATAAATTGATGCTATATGTTTCTCTTTTCTCTCTCTTTCATTGTTGATTTATGACCTAGTAAAGATTTTTTGGACAAAGAATCTTGATTTGCATAAATACATGGTTATGAAATTTTTCTACAGAAGAGAAAGGAGTTCTGACTACATTAAGCTGAGTAAATAGAAACTTCATGTTTAATTTTTAAGTAAAAGTTGACCTCCCTTCAATTATAAAAATAAAATTTGAGTATTCTTACAGAAAGAAACTTTACTTATTTATCAGCGTACTTTCATGATCAAATAAAAAAAAAAATATGAGGCAGAGCGATGGAGAGAACCTGTGAAAGACAAGGAGAGCATCAGAGGCAAAGAGAGACAGAAATTGAAACAGAAAATAAAAAGAAATAGTGATGAAGAGAAAATCAAAGACACAGACAGAAATCAAGAGTTATAGAGGGATTAATTCCAGAACTCATACATTAAGTGGTTAAATCCCCCTTACTCTACAATTTCTCTATCTATTTTTAAAACAATGTCAACAATGTATTTTCTTTCCCTGACATCATGCATTAGGCAGCCCCCCTTTTTTCCATAAGTTGTCACACATATCATGGGTGAAGAAAAACATGATTTTAATGGTCAATCAACTCTGTGTATCAGGAAGTCATTCTAGAACTCTTGAGTTTAGTTTCACTTTTATGCTCAAACACCATTTACAAATACATTCCTGAAAAACAAAATGACTGTTTTTTAGTTTTCAAACAAGTAATTATTAAACTGAATGAAGCTAGTTTAGCTTTTGGTGCTAAACAGCGCCAACTGAGGCTTCTCCTTGTCCAATGTGGCTATGGAGAGGAATCTGCATTCAAGGCAGTTGTAAAACAAGTAGATAAATAAATAACACTGGCAAAGGCAAAAATAACCAAACCAAACACCTCTTTGTCAGGACACGTTATAACTTCATCATGAGGACCTTGCAAAACTTGATTATTCACTTTCTGAGTTTGGTCTCTGGGAGACAACATAAGGGTAAAATGAAACCAGATACTTGGTTTTCAGATCCTGATGGTCACAGCTTTAAGAGAAAAGCAATGAGAAAAGTCTACTCACCAATGTCACAAACTTCAGCTCCTTAGCTACCACACTTCGGTCTAGCCAGAAGGAAAGCAGAAGCAAGAAGCTAAGGCGAAGGCTTGCTGTCCTGGCCGAGAGGAGCTGGGCAGCTCTCATGCTGGGGAGAGCTGTTTCTGGCAGGAGTTAGGAGGTGCTACTTCCTGTGCTAAAGCCATTAGAGGGGAAGCTATTTAATTAAGGATTAAAAGAGGAGGAGGAGCTGGGAGGAGCCAGATTCATAAACAGTAAAATCTCCAGGTAGTTTGGGACTAGGTTTGGCATGTGTCTGGTCAAATAAATTTGGGGCTGGGTGCTAGAGATCACAGTTTCCTGGATTTAAGTGAGAACATTGAGGCCCAGAAAGGAGAGAGCTGTTGCTCAAGGTCACAGAGCATTTTCGTAGACATTTCTTTTGTAGTTTACCTTTTATCTTTTCTTTAGATGGGGTTGTGATACGGTGTTTGTTTTTTGGCTGTCATTTGGGAGAAAGATCTACCCTGATTATGGAAACTTTAGGCCAGCGATTCCTAATCT